CCCTGCATCGGCAGGCGGACTCTCAACCACTGTGCCACCAGGGAAGCCCTCTTTGTGGATTTTTTAAAAAATTATTTACTGTAGTATTAGTGGCATTTTAGGAGGGAACAAAATTAGATATGTATATTCAATCCATCATTTTTACCTGGGTTACCTAAGTGATCATCAAAAGTAATTTTGACTATATGAGATGTTTTTGCCTTACTAACTTTGTGAGCCTACACCCTGTGTAAGGTTTGACTCCACTGCACATACTCTAAACCTTGGTTATTAGCATTAATAACTGACATCTAATAATAGAAAGCCAACAAAGTCATCCAGTCCAACTTTCCACTTTGTCAAGGAATGTTCCTGGTCAGGAAGTCACAGATAGTGCTCTTTGTCCTTGGAGATACCTTTCCATAATTCTAACTTAAAGAAAAATGTTGATGTTTTACTTATCTTTTGTAACCTTACTGCAATTAAATGCAGGGTTTCCATTAGACTTTTTAAATATTGAAAGTAGCCTAAGGACCCTCTGTGTTGCCTTTAGGGAAATCTAGAGGTCTAGGAGCCCATGTTAAAGTTGCAGTTCTGAGCACCATATAGTAAGACAGAAGTTTAAACTTTTTCTTTCTTATCTTTTTTCCATTGCAGGGATGTCATCAAGTGGTTGGTCAGAGCAGTAACTGAAGACAGATTAACTCAGTCCCCAAAGGAGAATCAAACCTCTCCAGGAGCAGGAATCTTGAAGGCCAGCAGTAGCCACCCTTCTCCCCAACCTAACCTGACAAAGAACACCAATCAGCTGTAAGGAGCAGGCAGAAGTTATCTTTCCTGGGGCTATTGGGATTTACTGTTTTAGAGAACAGCACCACCCCCTAAGAGGTGTTTCCCCAAAATTAACAAGCTCTTATAACATAGGCTGGGTTTTACTAAAAACTATCTTAGTTTGACTAAAGGCTAAATTCCTAATTCCAAAGGTAAAACAAAAGCAGATGCTTTCCCCCTAGATGAATAGGACTTCACTAAGTGAATACAAATTCACAAAGCCGAAATGGAACAAAAGCCAGAGGACAGTGCCCTCCCTTTCCTAGATTCCAGGAGACAATACAGGGTTACAGCTACTCACCACTGCATCTGTCCACTGACAGAAGAGGAGTCATGCGTAGTGGGTGTTCCAGCAGCCTCTTGTCCTCAAGGACCTGGGTCTCTCCTCCAATCCTGGAAGAAGAAGAGCAGTTCAACCTGCAGGTTCCAACAGGTTATATCAGCAATGGCTCAGACCAGGGCAGGTCCTATTACCTCAGACCTCACTGAAAAGAGATTCCTGGCATTTTTTTAATGGGATTGAAAGTGGTCTTGGCATTTTTTTAGAAATGCCAGGATTTGAGGGCTGGTGCTGCCCTTGCACAAGTAATCTGCTATTCCATGTCAATTATGTTAAAAATGACAGTCACACTTGATATTTCAAATACAGCATTTGTGCCTAAATTCACAACACTATAAAATAATCTAGTTGCACTGACCTGATTTTCATATAAGTACTATGGGTTTTAACTAATTTAGGAGACAATCTTGTATCTACAGGGAGAAGGTTTTGGAACAATGAAATATTTGCTTGAGCAGATTGGGGAAGGTCCTAAAGTAGGGAAGTAGGGTTATCCCAGAACTCAGTATATAGGCCCAAGAGAGAAGCAGCACTGTTCCTTAAATGAAAGCTAATATAATAATAATAATAGTAATAAATTTATTGTAAGTAGATATTAGTAGAATAAAATAGGGTGCCCCTAAAAGTGATCATGATCTTAACAACAACAGTAGGCACTGCTGTTTACCATTAATGAGTGCCTGTCTGCCAGATATCTTAAACAGCACAACTTTATGAAATAGGTGGTATTATTTCTCCTTTTTTGAGATGAGAGAACTTAGACTGAGAGTAGTTTAGTAATTTGTCAAAAATTGATCAGCTTGTCATTGCTGAGCCAGAATCTGATGCCAGAGTCCCTGTTCCACCTATTGTGTCACTGGCTGCAGATTTTCTGAAAACAGAGCCCTTCCTTCCCTCACAAATAATAGTGCATGTTAGAAGAGGCTAGTTTCAAGGCCAGGCTCACCTTCTGGGGGGTTGCCCAGATTCCTTCTGCCACATCAGCCTGGCTGTCTCCCACAGTTAGGTCTGATGAGATAGAGGGTCACGTTTCACCAGCTGAAACTCTGAGACTGAACTTAGTAAAAGATTATTGTAAAGGAACTAGTAACAGGAGAAGACTATATGGTAAATATGTATTTTCTCCTATCAAAGAAATTCAAATAATTGTTAGGCATTCTGGACCTGTTTCTTCATCTGTGAAATAGAGAAGTTATAGGTTAGGTGATCCTTAAAGTTCTCTAGATCCTTAAGATTGTATGTTTCTCTTTTTGAATTTAAAAGCAGCTTGCTTTTACAGCTCAACCCCAGGTTCTGAGAGGTTCAGATAGTATTATCTGACAAAAGGGATTCAGGTAGGGGAAATTGCTAATAAAAGCATGCTGATGCTTGAGTAGTTCTCCCTGACCCTAGTGTGTGCTTTATAAGATCCTTTAGTACACTGGTGGGGACCTCATCCCAGCCAGTAGGGTAGCTCTTTGCCAGACCCTCCCGCTCATTTGTGTTCTGTGTTCTGGACTCAGGATTGTATGCCAGCTGCAGAGGATGCTGTCCATAGCCGTAGAGGTGGATAGGACCCCCACATGCAGCTCCAATAAAATTGCTGAAATGATGTTTGGGTTTGTGCTGGACATTCCTGAGAGGAGTCAGAGGTGAGTCTTAGTTTTTTTGTTGTTCGTTTGTTTTTTGTTTTGGTCTGGGAACATAATTTCAAAAGAAAATTCCAAATGGTAGTTAAATTAGGAAAAAAGAGGTAGAGGGATAGTTCCTGTCTCTTTAACCTTTTGAAAGAAAGAGGTTCTCAACCAGTTGTTATTATTTGCAACTAAGGCATAATTTCTTGGGAAGAGGCAGGGTACCTTGAATGGAGCCTAAATTTTCCCACTTTATCCATCTGTCTAATAACTTTACTCATCTCTCAAGGTTCAGCTGTGAGGCATGACCATCTTCTCTGACCCTCAGCCACAGAGCCTGGTATAACTATTCACTAAAGTCTTGATGGATGAATGAAATAGGCATATCCAATATTAGGGGAAAAAGAGGTGACCCAAGAATGAATAGGGTTGCACCTGTAGAATGAGCCCAGATACTAAGAATAAGGAATTCAGTTTTTCTAAGCACTAATTAGTAAAGCATTTCATCAGGAAGAGACAAGGAAATAGAGCTCTTGGCTAGGGCCAGTGATTCCTCCTTTGAACCAGTAATTTTAGAAATCTGAAGGAAGAAAAACCGGAATGAATATGAATTCATGAACAGTTGCTGGTACAGAAAATAACTATGAGAAAGCCATTGTACAGTGGTGGCCCTTAGGGGAAATTATCTCCATCAGGTCCATGTCTGCTTCCCATCCCCATCCCCTAAGCTCCCAGTTGGCAGCCAAGACTATTCTTGTACAGTTCTGGTTCCTCTATTGGAAGAAAATGTCGTACCAAATAGAATTGTAATAAAGATTTAATTAAAATATCCTGCTAAGATTAAGACAAACACTTATTGGGTCCCTACAATGTACCAGTCATTGTCATGTTAATTATCTCATGTTTTCATAAAACTTTATAATGTTATTCCTGTTTAACAAATGAGAAAAATACTCTAAGTAGTTAAATAACCCAAGTTTACACAGTTAATCATATTCAGAATCCAGATTTAAACCCAGGACTTTTTTTTTTTTTTTTTTTTTTTTTGCGGTACACGGGCCTCTCACTGTTGTGGCCTCTCCTGCCGCGGAGCACAGGCTCCGGACACGCAGGCCCAGCGGCCATGGCTCATGGGCCCAGCCGCTCCGCGGCATGTGGGATCCTCCTGGACCGGGGAACAAACCCGTGTCCCCTGCATCATCAGGCGGACTCTCAACCACTGCGCCACCAGGGAAGCCCTTTTTTTTTTTTTTTTTTTTTGTGATACGCGGGCCTCTCACTGTTGTGACCTCTCCCGTGGCGGAGCACAGGCTCCAGACGCGCAAGCTCAGCGGCCATGGCTCACGGGCCTAGCCGCTCCGCGGCATGTGGGATCTTCCCGGACCGGGACACGAACCCGTGTCCCCTGCATCAGCAGGTGGACTCTCAACCACTGCGCCACCAGGAAGGCCCCCCAGGGCTTCTTAAATCCAAGGTCAGTTCAAAGAAGGCAATACATTACAGTGGTCAGCCAAAAGGAAGCATTCATAAATGCCATGCTTGCTCTATCACTTTGTTAAGAATATTTCATTTGGGTCCAACTCCCATACCATTCATTCATTTATGCCCAGATTCTGGTGAGAGATGGGAAATCTAAGGAATGGGTAACTGTAAACAAATTTGGGCTTAACATAGACAAAAAAATTTTAAATAAAACCTGGCCCTACTTCAAAACTTTCTCAGAAAGGTCATATTGGCAACCACCCCAAATTATACTAGAAGATACTTTATATACTTTTTCTTGGTTGTTTTAACTTTTAAAAGTTTAGGTATAATTTACATGCAATTAAATGATACAAACTAATTTACATAAATATCCTTCCATGAGTTTTGACAAAGGCATAACCCATGTGACCTATCATTTTCCAGTGCCTCATTGATAGCATATAGAAATCCTGCAACCTTGCTGAATTCATTTATTCTAGTAGGAATATTTCTGTAGTTTCCTTAGAATTTTCTACATACACAATATTTTGTCTGCAAATAAAAACAGTTTAACCTCTTCCTTTCCAATCTGTATGCCTTTTGCTTGTTTATCTTACCCTATTGCATGGGCTAATACCTCCAATAGAATGTTGGAGAAGTGATAGGAATAGACATCCTTGCCTTATTGCCTGATCTTAGGGGGCAAACATTCAGTCTTTGACCATTTAGAAGTAGTATTAGCTGTAGGTGTTTCATAGGTACCCCTTGTCAGATTGAGGAGACTTCCTTCTATTTCTAATATATTGAGTGTTTTTGTGAAGAATAGGTATTAAAATTTGTGAAATTTTTTTCCTCTATTGAGATAGTCAAAATTTTTCTCCTTTCTTCCATTGGTGTGATGAATTACACTGATTAATTTCCTAATATTAAAACAACTTTGCATTCCTAGAATAAAAAACCCTACTTGACTGTGATATGTTATCCTTTTTTATTGACAAATTGAATTTGCTAATATTTTGTTAAGGGCTTTTGCATCTATGTTTACTAGAGATGGTGATCTGTGATTTTATTTTATTTTCTTATAATGTTCAACCTCATTCATATTTAAAGAAATTTAAATTAAAACTACACTGAGGTACCATTTCTAACCTATCTAAATAGTAAAAATTTTAAAGTACTATAAAAGACTGCATTAGTGAGATTTTGAGAAAGCAGGTAGGTACTCATACATTGCTGGTGGGACTGCAGAATGGTTACAAGCCTTATGGAGGGGAATTTTACAATATCTAACAAAATTAAAGGTACATGTACTTCTTGACCCAGCAATCTCATGTCTAGGAATTTACCCTGAAGTTACACTTTTTTTTTTTTTCTTTTTGCGGTACGCGGGCCTCTCACTGTTGTGGCCTCTCCCGTTGTGGGGCACAGGCTCCGGACACACAGGCTCAGCGGCCATGGCGCACGGGCCCAGCCACTACGCGGCACGTGGGATCTTCCCGGACTGGGGCACAAACCCGTGTCCCCTTCGTCGGCAGGCAGACACTCAACCACTGTGCCACCAGGGAAACCCCCTGAAGCCCCCTGTTAAAAGCCCACTTTTAACAGTATAAAAATACATATGCACAAGGATATTCACAACAGCATGTTTGTAATTGCAAAATACTAGAAATAACCCAAATGCCCATACATAGGGCAGTGGTTGAATATCTATGGTACATCTACACAGTGAAGATGTAGCTGTAAAAAAGTAAAATTTAAAAATAGGAGCAAAATATTTATGATCTGTTTTCCAAAATATATTGTTAAGTAAACAAAGCAAAATACAAGAGTATGCATAATAAATATACATATCTTTTTCTAAGAAGGAGAAATTTTTAAATATACATGATTATAATAATTTACAAAAAAAGAAACCAAGTTAAGATAAACTGCAGTCTAGTCAAATTGCTTACATACAGGGGTAGATAGATGGCAATGGGCTGGAAAGGAGATAAGGTGCTGAGCTGGAGTTGGAATGACCTTAATGGTAATATTAGTAGTGTAGTACTTCCCTGAGTATACTTCTTTGTATAGTTATAACTTTTAGACTTTTAGAACCACATTAATGTTTTATATACTCAAAAAAAGAAAAATAAATCAGCAAGGAAGTTGGATGGGAGCCTAACATGCAATACAAACAGACACAAATTAACCTGTGTTTTAAATGAATAATAATTGGGGCCATGGGGTGCGGGATGGGAGGGAGGACAAGCCCAAGCAACTTTTTTTTTACTTCTTATTTTTAAATAATTATAGATTCACAGGAAGTTGCAAAAACTAGTACAGAGGGGTCCTGTATACCCTTCACAATCTTTCCCCTAGTGATTATATCTTGCATAACTATAACAGTATCACAAAAAGGAAATTGACATTGGTATAATCCACAGAACATATCAGATTTCATCCATTTCACCTAGATTGTACTCATTTGAGGGTAGTTCTATGTAATTTTATCACATTTGTAGCTTCATATAACCACCAGCACAATCAAGATACATGGAACTGTTCCATCACCACAAAGATCCCTTGTACTACCCTTTTACGGGTAACTATTCATCTTCTCCAACCCCTGGAAACCACTAGTCTGTCCAAGTAAGGTAAAACACAGTATCTGGACTAAACGCCCTCAGGCTAAAGACAAAATGAAGTGTAAGTAAATATTAAACTCTAGTTAGTAACTTTCTTTTTCACAGAAAGTATGAGTTAACAATTCAAAAACTATCTTATGTGTATTCTAGGATTAAACAAATAAATGTATTGTGGATAATGAGAGCCAAGTTTCTCACTGTCAGAGAAGAGAGTTACACATATGAAAAGGGGAAAGGATAGAAGGAACCCTGTGGTGCTGGATTGGAATTGGAGGTATCAACATGAACTTGTGGTTTCTAATAAATATAGATAGATATAGGAATAAGTGTAGATGTGTGAGTGTGTTATATATATATATATATATATATATATATATATATATATATATAGTGTGTGTGTGTATATTTATTTCTCTCTATATATATATATATATATATATATATATATATAGTGTGTATGTATGAATTCATTCCTACCTTTACCCACTGAGAGAGCATAGAAACAATTACACCCTAGTAGCAATGAGCACACCTAGTACTCAGATCTTTGTTTCTAAATACTAGTTTATACTAAAAGGAACCAGAGTTCTTTAAGGAAATGACTAATTCCAGAGCTGAGGTAAAGAAAAGTATAAAATGAGCCTAGAACATCTTGTTCCAGAAAGTGAGGAAATGTTCAAGGAATGTTCAGAACATGTCAAAAGAAGCTTAAAGGGCTTCCACTGACTAAATCTGGGATAATTTGAGTACCAAATAAATATTGACAGTAGAACATTATAAACTGTTGTGTAAAATAAGAATCCATGATTCTAATACTGATAGGAAGGAAGAAAACAGACTCTCTTCCTTATATTAGAAAGCCAGCTAATAAATATAAGAAGAAATGATGAATTAGGGAAAAAAATGCCATTTGGCAACCATCATAAT